TTTTTAGTGTATAACAGAAGTATGCAAAAAGTCCATAGATAACTTGTACATGAATGTACATTATTAAACCTAAATTACTTGAATTTTAGCACAAAAACGTCCAAACATTCTTAAAATTATTCTTTTCTACATAATACTGTATGCACAGTTAAAATGTTGTTAGTACAAAATTAACTTTAAAGAATTAGCATACTTGATGTGTAAAAGTTGTTCTGACTTCTAATATGCATAGATTTAGTACAGTACAAATACTTTATGTTTCATGCTTGTCTTGTGTTTTCGTTTGGATACTTTATTAGTGTTTCAGTTTACACACTTGTTTCTTCCTAAAGTCATTGGCCTTTGTCTCCCAGTCTTCATTGTCATTTTTAAATTGTTCACACCTGTTCACCATCTACTAGTTTGAACAGAGTCCACAAGGGGACATCAAGGATTTTTTTCTTTAGCGATGAATCATTCCCACYAGAGCTGTTCCTGAATTTTAATGGAAAACCACCTGAACGAACCGTGCTGTAGAGGTGCTAGAGGAAAAGACCCATTATGATAGCTGGACCAGTAAAAYCTGTCTCATAATTCACCTGTAGGAGGAAAATTGACAGCACTCCAGCTCCAATGGTGTTCATCAGGCCCATGTAGTAGTGGACCAGGGCCTCTCTGCAGCCTCGGAGGTAGATGTTGAGCTCCTCGGTTTGGTAGTCGTAGTTATAGTGAGCAGAGTTGTTGGTGAGCTGGTACTGGATGCATGGACGTGGAGAGCTGGGGTTACAGCAGCTGAACGGGACTCCATCAACCAAGTAACGTCCATCTACGTTGCTCTTGACACGGCTAAGAAGACAAAGAAGAAATGAGCTTTTCTTGTACAGACACGGTAATGTGGACTGGTCTTGTTTCTTTACGAACGTGCTCAAATGAATGAAGCTGTGTCCACTCACTCTTTGACCTCCTTGGAGTTGAAATCAAGGTAGCGGTTGCTGATCCACTGGACTTCAAACCAGTCCCTGAAGTCATTGTTCCCACAGCACTGGAACTCCATCTGCAGCCGATCGATGTTCTGCTTCTGGAAGCACCGACCAGGGGTGTCCGTGTCCTTGTAGAAGCGGATGCCGTTCCTCAGGCCGACCTTCAGAGAAGACTCCAGGCTGCCCTTCATTGCGTAGCTCATGATGACAGCCAGCAGCATGAGGACGGTGAAGAAGCACGAGACGGCRAAGTAGGGCTTCAAGAAGTTCTTCCAGCGGGGAAACCGCCCTGCGTCCAACGCATCCTGACAGATCTTTGACGCAAAGTAGTTGATGCCCAAAGAAGCCAGACCGACGATCATGAGAGTGTTGGGCACGATATGTATGTCTGTGTTATCCATCACCTGTAGAAGTCACACAAAGGACAGGGAGAGTCAAATTTAACAAGCTGAAAGGTCAGAAAGAAACTTTTTCTCATTGAAATTAATCTATGTTTGTGAGAATCTGAGTTTCAATTTTGTCTTTATTTTATTATATCTTCCTTTATTTTTCACCATAGCTACTTGAGTAAACTGTAAATGAATTTAATGTTTAGCACACTGAATAAAGAGCATCTCATCATTCTTCAAATGTTTCAATCATTAACACCTGGATTCCCAGGACGTGGAAGTTAAAGTTGAAACAAAACTTGTGCTTCCTGTAGCTTGGACCCAGTTTTAGGTTTCGTTCCTTCAGGTTAGTGAGCAGGACTTTGAAGTAAAAAAAATTCAATTTAAATTCAATTTTATTAATTTCATTAAAAAATACTATATACAATAATAAAAATAAACCAAAACCAAAAAAATATACAAATCAAAATAAAATGAAAGGTAGCAGAAGAAGAATAAATCTTATTTGGTCTGCCCCTTTTAGACCCAGAATGTACTCAAACGAAACATAATTTACAAAACTACTAAATAACATAAAAAAATAAAAACTAAAAAATATATAAAATAAAAACAACATAAAAATACAAATGTTCCTGAAATAATTACAGKTTTACTGTGGTAGGTAGATTTTAGCTTCATGTTTAATGTTCAAAAATTGATTTTCTGCCAAMTTGGAGCATAATTTGTTACAAAAACATGGGGTTAAAACTGATGGTTCTGACAAGCTAAACCTTGAGAATTTTAAGAAAGGAAAACCATTTTGAACCCAATAAACAGTTTGGATAGAATAAAAATAAAACTGATCTACAGTGGAGTCATTGGGTCGATATATAAAATTTGAAAAGTCTTTAAAAAACAACCAAACTTAGCAGTGAGTTTTTCTGTCATATTTTAACAGTTGCTTTTTGTTTTATTTAACTTCTGTGGAGGTTGTGAAAACTTTATATAGACCACTTTCAGCATTCTTTTATATTAATTCCCTGAGCACCTGTAAACTAGTACTTATGATAAAATTCACTAAACATTTTCTAACAAAATGTAACAAGCACAGAGAAGAGCACCAATTGCAGATGAGGCTAAATGTGTTCTAAAAGGTGCTTTCAGAGATGGAAGTCCCTGAAGTAAGGCAATACATTTTCCCTCTGATTTTTAAACAATATTTTAGCACAACACGTTATCAAATCTGACACTAACAATTGATTTATAATTTTTACACTGTATTTGACAGTTTGTTTGTAGAAATTTAATGATGACGGATTTTGTTTATTAAAAACTTGAGCATAAAATCAAACAAAATCCAAACAAGTCTGTTACAATAAATCCAAAACTGTTGCACAGTAAATCAGAATTTACCACTGATTTGCCACAATGATGCATTTTAAATAACTGTAACTTGCTCTATATTAGTTAAAAAAAATAGTTTGTCAATGTGAAGGTGAAAGTTCTTAGAATAGGGGATTAGATTAATTAAAGCRGACATGAGCCAAGTTTATGACATGATTAGTCAGGAGCCAAAGTGGGTCACAGATTTAAACCTTCAGGATATTTGCCTGATTATATCACCTAACTGATCCCAAAACTAAGTCGGTCTTTAAAAATAAACACTGAATTTCTCACTGTTTCCTTTTTAATTTGACTCTACTCATCTCTGTCATGTGACAATTAGGAAAAAAATATTAATATTAAATTAATTGCATGCTGTGTGTCATTTATATATACAGTATATAC